TTGATCAACTGTCCATTCGCTAATTATTGCTCTCATGATTTGATGCAAAAGAGATCTATGTTTCTTGATAATAAGTACTCAGGAAAAATAAGGAATCTACAGTAGATGCTGCAAAGTCACAATGATATGATGTACAATACCATCAGACTAGTTTTCATGTAATAGATGTTTAAAATATGTAAAATTATGTTTTGAATTGAATCTATACAATCTAATGCAGATTTACATTTGATTAACAGGAAAATAGACTAGCAGATAAATGTATGGAATGGAAGCAAGTTTTTGTGAAAAGTGCTTAAAATAGGAATTTTTTCTATAACGCAGTGTAAATGTAAATGTTTTGCATCTGATATTAACCTAATATCTTTTCTACAGTGCAAGGCAGGCACAAAGACCAAAGAGAGGATTCAAGTTCCATGAACATGGGAAATTTGAAGCTATTGCTTCTAGACTTCGTGCTAAGGTAAACCCCCTAGAAATTTCAAAGAAGTTTTATCAAGTTTTTATATAGCAAAAAAATACTACAAGGAAAAATGTAAACGATGTACTACACACCAGTCCTATATAGAGAGCCAGCAGATGATTTGTTTCACATATAAGAATTACATGAAATAAGATGGAGCTTCTTTTTATCCCAGTATATTATGACAAGTTCCATCCAAAATATAATTCACAAAAGTATTCTTCAAACTACATGTAATATGTTATTATAAATTTTCTGTCCTTAAAGAGCCTCATTTGATTACATAAGAACTATGTTATTCATAAAAGGCATACATGCCAACTTTCCCGATTTAGGCGGGATCCTCCCGATTTTACCCTTTCATCCCGCTTTCCCGATCGTGAGAGAAAAATTGCCCCAATTTCCCGATTTGCAAAAAAAATCACCAAAATTTCCGATTTTAAAAGATTCCCTACAGCTGAATTTTGACAATCGGGATAACAATGTCAGACTTGTTTATTCAATGCACACAGACAAGTTTCATTGTTTATTTAACCAGGTGTCACAGGAAATCACTTCACGCATGAACGCACGCAGTTGTCCATTTACAAGTAGCTTATAGCTTGGGGCAATTAGGGATTATCTTGTCAGTTTTAAGGGGTATGCAAGGTGAAACACATAGATTAACGTGATAATAGTTAGTTCTTTTATTAAAAACATAAATTAAAGACAATAAAACACTAGTCAAACCATAAAATCGGAATTCAAAGAGATCGGTTTTTTTTTGTTTTTTTTTTTGAAAACGAAAGTAGAAAACTACAAAGCATAGCTGCTGATTTTATCTACCTATAATGAAAAATATTGTAAAGTTTGGCAGTTAAAATAATATGAAAAAACTAAGATGAAACAATCAAGTGTATGTCAATTAGAATTTCTTTTCCCTCCCTTCTCCCAATAGTAATATTGTATGTTAGGTATGTGCATGACTTATGGAAATACCCACATGGCACCATCAAACCTGACAAATTTCATGACTGTAAAAAAAATAATTCTCTTTTGGATAGGTGGTATAAATTTCTGTAAATTTAGTATCTTATTAGAATTTCTAATTAATTGAAATATAAATAAAAAATCTCAAAAATGTTTCCAGAAACAGGACTTTACAGTATCAAAACCTCATATATTTTTTAGCCTTTGAAAAAAAAAAAATGATTTAAAAGTTGTACAATTTTCAATTTTTCACTAAATAAAATATGTGTCCTGGTAGAAAAATTATGTTGTTTACATATGTAACTAAATACCCCTTCTTTAGTGCGAGAGGCACCTATTTTAGAAAAAAATATCTCAATTTTGGAAAGAAATTAAAACATAATTTTTTGTGTTAAATTAATCCTTAAGTTGTATTGATAAGTGATATCAATATTATAAATAAAAAAAAAGATCATTTCATAATCATTTAATTTCACTAAAAATGTCGCGAATTTAAAGCTTTGAAAATTGTCGTCACGCGCTAAATCCCCCATGGGAATTTTCAAAAGTTGGCATGTATGAAAAGGACATTGTATTTTTGTTTCATTTAAGGCCCAGCTGGACATTTTACAAAGTGAGATAGCACAAGCTGCTAAGAAGACGGGTATTGCCTCTGCTGCTAAACTAGCTACCATTGCACCAAAGAAAGAACTGGTAGGTCTGCCTGACACCCCCCCCCCCCCCCCCCAAGTAAAAAAGAACAAAAATAGATAAATGGATGAAAATTAACCCTTTCCTACGTAAATCAATCATTTCTTAGTAGGTTTATTGACATTTTTTTGAAATATTTTTGTTGTTTTTCTAGAGAGAGGGTGAGATCCCCACTGTGGAATGGTGGGATAGCTTTCTCCTCCCTAATGACAGTTATGATGGAATTGAGGACAGGCTGAGAGACGGAAACTTTGAAGGCATCACACATTTGGTGGAACATCCTATACAGCTCAAACCCCCAAGTAATTGATTATTTGAATATCTTGGCAATGCCATCTTTTAATTGCACAAAATGTGAATAGACAGTGTATGTTTGTGGCAAAGCTCTGTGTAATCTTTATAAATGTGATACAAAAGTTAATGATTAAATATTAATTCAATACTAATGAATTAAAATTATAAAGACCCATTATGGAAGATTTCTCTCTCTGTGGTTTTCTATAATTTTCTGAACTAAATACATGTAATTCGAAATGACTAGTTTGCAAGTTTAGCTGTTCATTTGGCGTAATATACAAGAGAATGAAAAAGCACATATCACAAAAATTGAATTGAAATATATTGTTTAAAATCAGACGAACCTGAAAAAGGACCGCAGATACCTGTATATCTCACCAAGAAGGAGAGGAAAAAATTACGTCGACAAAATCGTCAGGAGAATCAAAAGGAAGTGACGGAGAAGATACGACTGGGACTGATGCCCCCGCCAGAACCTAAAGGTTGCTTGCTTTGTTGTTATTGTTTGATGAAACAAATCCTTCTAAAAGCTTGGTAATATGAATGTATTTTTCAAAGCTATGCTTCAATGCATTTCATACTGTAAACTGTAAAGTTAGCCCAGGATATTTCAAAATATGGGATTATGTATGCAGATCTATAGGATATGGATGGACATATGTTACAATAATTTAGGACTTGATGTGTATCGTAAATTCCATGACCTAATTAATGACAGTGCTAGTATAACATTGTAAACTGGATTGTAGTTTATACAATCATGTTAACAGTATGAACAAAATGATCTGTTTGGATGGCCACTTTAATGCAAGTGTTGTAGTTTATACAGTGTGCATTGTGTTGACAGTATTAAGTTAACGATCTCATTTGCTTTATAGTTCTGATGGCCAATTTAATGCGAGTATTGTACTTTATACAGTCATTCATTGTGTTTACAGTATTAGGTTAATGATCTAATTTGCTTTATAGTTCGGATGGCTAATTTAATGCGAGTGTTGGGAACAGAGGCTGTACAGGACCCTACAAAAGTAGAGGCCCATGTCAGAGCACAAATGGCCAAAAGACAAAAGTAAGACATCCCACACAGAAACCTACATGTACTCAGTTTTGTTTGAACAAGCAGTAAAACTAGTTATTAATAGTGTGAAAAGTAATGAGTTTCAATTAATAATTTTTATAACCTTTTTATGCAACTATAAACTGCTAAATGGCTCATTGTATAAAATTATTCAAAGATATACAGTTGAATTCGGTATCTTGAACACCGATTTCTGGAATACCATGTCACAGTGAATTGGAAGTCTCAACCACTTATTCTCTAAGTACTGTACCCTCGAGTATCTTGAAGTTTTTCCTGAGTCCCATTAAGTTTGAGATTTGACTGTATTTTGGAAACCTAAATATTATTTTAAATTTACATGCACTTGTGTTATTAAAAGCAATGCACTTTTCAGAGCACATGAAGAGGCTAATGCAGCAAGAAAACTGACAGCAGAACAGAGAAGCTTGAAGAAAGAGAAGAAACTGAAGGAGGACACATCATTAGGGGTCCATGTATCTGTGTACAGGTGAAACAGAATTATATAAACACATGTTTATACACACCTTAAATAGGGATTTTATTAGTTTACCTATTTTGTTGGAACTATTAAATAATAAAAATTATAGGCAGTATAGAAAATGTTGAGATAAGTTAATATGGCATCTAAATATTTTTTATTTTATACATATAAATAAAAATGAAAAAGAAGTAAATATATATATTTTTACAGAAAAATTATCATAATTCATTTGAAATTGTAGCTAAGATTTTAAGTTAAAAAAATATTCTGATTTTATAGCAATATTTTGGAAAAAAAATGTTATATATCATAATTCGAAATTTTTGGTGATACTCGTCCCAATTAACAATGGAGGTTTTCTCTTCAACATTGAAAGGAAAAGTTTTGTTATATGCAGGTCTTGTTGGAATTTTTATACGCAGAAGGATTTATTGGCATGAATGGCATGACATTTATTATTTAATAACTCCTTGCATTAATACACCTTTAATGTTTAGAAATTATTAGTCACTGTCATGAGCTCTTTGTTGTACAGAACAGTTTTATCTCCACTTTTACAAAAACCCATGTATTCTTTTTAGATTAAGAGATTTGACAAATCCAGCCAAGAAGTTTAAGATAGAAGCTAACGCTAAGCAGCTGTACATGACAGGGATAGTTATCATGCATAAGGAGTGTAACGTAGTGGCAGTTGAGGGCGGGCCAAAACAACAGAGGAAATTCAGGCGACTCATGCTCAACAGAATCAAATGGAACGAGGATAAACATAAAAAATCAGCAAAAGATGATGGTAAAGTTTATAGTCTTCTCCAAGTATCCATCAATATTTATTAAATAGGGTCTTTACTTGTCTGCTGGTATTTGTACTTATACACTCTGATTTGTAATTGTTCCAATCAAATAATCTGATGAAATATTTAATCTGAATTTTTTTAACATATTTTATGAAAATTGCTTCCACAAGGTTCCTATTTTGATTTTGTAAAAGTACCACGTTTTTAACTCTTTGAAAGCCCAGCAAAATAAATACCAAGATACAAATTTAAAAAAAATACTGTAAACCAACTTTTATATTCTATGAATATTCCACGACCTACTTTAACTCACGAATATTGCCATGAACCATGAATCATTTTGCTAATCATTTGTAGAGAATGTTTCCTCAATCGCGGAATTAATCGTCGCGGATTGATTTCAAACTGATGAATCGCGAATAAAAGATTACGCAAATAATAGTTGGTTTACAGTAGTGTCCTCAAGAGTTTCAAAGTTTGAGTACATGTTTTGTAAGAAAAATATCAAAAAGTAATTTGAATGTGTAATTTGAAAACCCAAATTGCAAGTGAAATTTTCAGATAAAGGAATTGCTTTGATCAAATAATTTAATCAGCACAAGCAAATAAAAATCTGTTATAATGATAAGAACCTTAAATCCCTGAGTGTAATGTAATTATATTTCCTGTATATTTCTAGATGACAGTGATTCAGAGGAAGAGCAGGATAAATCTAACAAATGTGTTCTAGTGTGGGAGGTAATTTGTTTATAAAGGAGTAGTCTAGCAAATTGTTTATCTTTTAAAATTTTGAAGTGAAATTAAACAAAGTACCTTGTTTATGTCAGAATGAACGGTAGCAATCATTGCAGAAAATATACATAACTAATCTAAGCAGGTTATTTAAACTTTTGGGGGAAATGGTTGCAATTTTTTCAGTCAAATTGCTTAATTTGCAGCTCCATAAAATTTCCACCTACATAGTACTGAAATCATCATTGTTCTTTACCTCTGTATACTCACAAGTTTACAACTCTACATATTTTGTACACATATTGAATAACTTGAATATACATGTACTGTACTACATAAATGAGTAGTCCACGAAATAACATCCCCTTAAACCAAAAAAATTTTGCTTGCCCACGAACAAACTTAAGGAATTGAAATGATTCCACAGTACATGTATATCTGAATTGACATTCAACTTTAATAATTTTTTTCTTAAAGATTTTGTTGTGTGTGCTTTATCTCTGGATATAATACTAAAATGCTTTCTCTTCAATATTTTGGAACAAATAGTATTATCAATGCTAAGTTTTTGTTATTGTTTTATATAGGGAACCACCAAACAAAGAGCTTTTACAGACTTTAAGTTTAAAGTGTGTCCAACAGAGGCATTCGCTCGTGAACAGTTTAAAAAGTGTGGTGTGGAGCAATACTGGGACTTAGCCTTCAGTGGAGCTGTGTTAGAGTCCACACAAGACGAGGACTTCTTATAGCATCAATGTCTACTCTGATCTGCTTTCCAATGAAAGAGGGAATGATGTTTTATAATTAAAATTTACCACTGTTATACATGTGATTAAAGCAGTATTTCATGACATCAACACTGAATTAAAAACCACATGGATGAGGAAATTCTTATGCTATCCAAATTGTGAAAAAAGTGCAAAAAAAAAATTAAAAATGAGAAAGAAAAAGAAAGGAAAACAGGATTGAATCTTGATTTAATTGAATAAAGTGGTGGAAATATTGTTATTTTTTTTCATGTTAATTTTTGTTTTGTTACTTACAAATCAAAGATTATCATACAATATGTAATTACACTCTGCATATATGGTTGAAAGTAGCATTTGCACAATTGTATTGTTTTTTTACTTCATTGAAATTAATGGTGTATCTTGACTGCATGTGTATTATTTCCATCAATCAAGAAGATTATTTAATCAGACCCGGTAACATGCAGCAGTTGAAGAACACCTGCCACTATTTCTGTCAAAGTAAGTGTGATCTGGACATTTGACTGCTGTGGCATTCCCGCTGTTACATCTATAGTATGCATCACATGGTCTCGTACTGAACTGGTAACTTCCGTCAGGCCTTCCAGTACAGTTCGGAAGTAGTCCTACTCCCCGTGGATCAGATGAGGGTATAGCAAACCTTTGTGTGCATGTACCTTTGTAGGGGTAGGTTTGTGTTCCCCATACTGTGTCAACAGGACATTGACCCTCTTCCACTAACCTATTTTGATAGCACCGGATAAATGCTTTTTGCGAGAGACGGTACGAGTAAGGATGTTGAAAAACACCATTAGGTAGATGCAAACAATTGCTTGGATGAGTACCAAAACCACAGTTTCCCATGTGCCGGTTGAGGAATGCAGTGAACCAGTAGCTGCCTGAAAAAAGAATGATCTGTTTGTGATAACCTAGCATTTGATAAGATTAGTACATGTATGTTATGTTTCAATTCAGTCAAACATGGTTGCATAATTTGGCCAAGTTTTATCTTCCAATTCTCTTTGCCAGCTTTTGGAACAACTAGAATTCAACATCAATTATACGAATTTCTATATGTGAAAATTATGTATATAACCTGAATTGAGGGGACCATTTCATTCAGAAAATAGATCATTATACCCCCAGCAAACAACGTGGGGGGTTATATTGGAATCACCATGTCCGTTTGTCTGTTTGTCTAGCTGTCTTACAGAGTTTGTCCAAACCATTTCTCGGAAACTATTTGTCTGAAAATTTGTACACTTATCATATGATGGTGTGCACCTGGCATTAACAACTTTATTTGCTAATTTTTCTGCATTTTACAGGGATTAAAAAATTATTGACTTAGTTATTTTGTTTTCATGTCTAAGGTCATGACAAAGAATCTAGATCATCTGTACCAAAATGTGAACTACAGCTTGGATCCTCAAAGAATGGCAACTGAAAAAAGTGCAAAAAAAATTAAAAATGAGAAAGGAAAAGAAAGGAAAACAGGATTGAATCTTGATTTAATTGAATAAAGCGGTGGAAATATTGTTATTTTTTTTTTTTTCATGTTAATTTTTGTTTTGTTACTTACAAATCAAAGATTATCATACAAAATGTAATTACACTATCTGGTCACCATGACCTACTTTTGAAATTTTATGACTTTATTACATGTAACTCACCTGAGCCAAAGGCTCATGTGAGCTTTTCTGATCGAAATTTGTTCGTTGTCTGGTGTAGTCGTTGTTGTTGTAAACTTTTCACATTTTCATCTTCTCAAGAACCACTCTGCGAATTTGAACCAAACTTGCCACAAAGTATTCTTGGGGTGAAAGGGATTCCAGTTTGTTCAAATGAAGGGCCACACCCTTTTCAAAAGGGAGGATAATTATGATAATTATGAATTAGTGAAAAATTAATGGCATATTTATGGAAGCATCCTCAGGTAGTGTAGATTTAAGTTTGTTCAAATCATGACCCCCAGGGGTAGGGTGGGACCACAATGGGGTATTTAAGTTTAACATAGGAATACATACAAAAAAATCTTCTCAAGAACCACTCGACCAGGAAAGATGAAACTCATGTGGAAGCATCACCATGTAGTGTAGATTCAAATTTGTTCAAATCATGACCCCAGGGGTAGGATGGGACCACAATGGGGTATTTAAGTTTTAAATAGGTATCAATAGGAAAAATCTTCTTTTGAAGAACCAATGGGCCAGGTAAAATAATACTCATGCAGAAGCATCCTCTGGTAGTGTAGATTCAAGTTTGTTCAAATCATGACCCCCAGGGGTAGGATGGGGCTACAATGGAGTATCACATTTTGACATAGGAAAAATCTTTAAAAATTGTTTTCTTAAGAAAAGCAAAGCATGCAATGATTGATCATATTTATATGGAAGCATCCTCTGTTAGTGTAGATTTAAATTTGTTCAAATCATGACCCCTTGGGCAAGAGAGGGGGCTATTATGGGTGATAAGAAGGAATACATAGGGAACATTTTTAAAAATTTTTTTCTCAAGAACAGCAAAGCTGTTATTGGTTATAGTTATATGGAAGCATCCTCCTGTAGTGTAGATTCAAATCTGTACAAATCATGACCCCTAGTGGTAGAGGTGGGCCACAATGGGTGGTCAAGTTATAACACAGGAAAACAAGGGGAATGTTGTTAAAATTTTTTCATAAGAAGAACAAAGCCATGAATGATCATGAAGACCAATTAAATAGAGGAGCCATTAAAGTGGATCATAAGAAAGAAAATAAAGACTATATCAATAAAATGTTCATCTTAAAACAGCAATGCCATTATGTGTCTCATTAATTCAAAAGCATCCTTAGTGTCCCCTCCACTGAACCCACTTAAGAAATAAACAACGTTATTCAGTAAACATGGCGTTATGAATAGCAATTGCTCTGCTGGCATATTCCATGATGCGCGCTAGCGCATCATGGAAAATATGCCAGCAGAGCTATTGCTATTCATAATGCCATGTTTACTGAATAATCGTTGTTTATTACTTATATTTGCATTCTTTGATTTATTCAAGAATATCAGAGGAAATCCTGACTTACATATAAGGACGCGGCCTCTTGTCTTCAGTAATGAAAAACATACGGCTTTAAAATCGGTACACCTGATCAATGATCCTTTTATCTAATAAATCACAAACAATTATAAAGTATTTCCCTCTCAAACACAGTTATCTGGATACAAGCAGCGCCATCAACACATTCTCTTAATTTTTGTTTTGATGCAGTTGTGACGTCATCAATCAACGTTATTGAAACCCTCTGACAAAAATAAATGATTTAACACTATGATGAAAAATGATAATGCTTTTATAATGATTATTACTACAGGATGCTTTTCTATTTTTTTTTTTTTAGTTCTATTTTTTTTTAATAGCTGAAATTATTCTTGAAGTAGATATACTAGTTATACTAGTTTTCTGAATGTTATTACCCAAGTGTGGAGAGTTATCGTTCTTTGTACAAATATGCATGATACAAAAAATAAAAAATATGGCAGTTTTCTACAATTTTTGAAAAGTTTTATTATACAATTAAATACACTGACCAAAATTGAATTTTTAAAGATATAAATCAGCAAATTTAATTATTCTGAATTTCTTTTTTTTCAAAGAATATTATTAAAAACTTATTTTTATTCCTTTTACGAAAAGTTTCATATATATACTTCTCCACACGTCTTATTATTGTAGAAGAGTTTGTTCTACAGGAATTCGATAGAGCAATTGCATACATAGCAGAAGCAATTGCGTCTATAGTGCTATGAATGCAGTCGAAGACTACATGTTCATAGTGGGAGAGAGCAGTGGATATGCAAATATATCTATTTAATAAACTTTTCAATACTGAACTTATATTTGCTCTTACATAGCTAGTTTCTCAGGTGAGCGATGTGGCCCCTGGGCCTTTTGATTAATATATTAATTACTAAACTGGCTAAAACTTTTCAACCTTTGTCAGTCAATGCATTTTTAGTTTAGAAAACTTCAACTGCAAGGTAGGTCAGTCTTACCTGCTTTTTAAAAAAAATTTTGGCTATACAAAACTCGTTTAGTACGAACACGGATATCGCGAATTTACGGATATAGCGAAGTCATCTTGCATCCCCAGCTACACCGTGTATATCCCAACATGCGGGGTGTATACTATGTTGTGCGCGGGGTGTATGCTTCCGAAGCGAGAGAAAGGGGGTCAATGTACGTTCTTTGTCCAATTTCTCAACTTACGGATATTTTTCGCCAGAAAGCATACGCCTACGGAAGGAAGCATTGTCTAAGGAGTATATGGATACCTGTGAATCCACTGTACACCTTCTAGTTTTATCAAACACCTCAACACAATTCAAAGGATCGGAGAAAGATTGAAGCTACACTGTGTTTATGATCAAATATCAGAAGAAAGCTTTGCTTTATCGTCACTTTTATATTATTGTTAAATACATGTTTACAAAATAAACGTTTGTACAAATTGTCTGTAAATAAAACAGTTCGTATATAAAGAAATTGACGAAAAATCCATGTTGTGTCCGGGGTGTATGCAACATGTTGTACGCGGGGTGTATACCCCTCTTTTCACTCTATAGTATCATTGTCTGAAATGTCATTAAAAAAAGTTTAACAATTGACTTTTGTAAAAGTTCTATTTATTTTTTAAATTATTCACCACTTTTGTAATACAGCCGGTAGCACAACTTCAGGTTCATGAATTCGATTTACTGGAAATAAAATTGATACACGTTCATCGTACTTTTGGCTTTGCATGGCACAGGGAAGTAAATGTACAGGGTACTATGTTTAACTGTTTAATGTGATAACCAACAATTCATCCCTTCTTTCGATTTAAAGGCACCTTATTCAGATCCTTTCTTAATAAATGCTTCACCCATGCATCATTTTGAACATTTAACATTTCGTCGTAATTTCTGTTTAACTTTTTTCAATACTTTTTAAATGAATTTGAAAATATTTAGCTTTTTGTCATGTCATAAACACCAGAAAAAATGTTCTCATTCATGTAGTATTTACATGTATATGTTGTGTACTTTGCCCCCAGGAGCCCATGTTTGGCAGTAAACTATTTGTTTTATATCGAGGCATTGTATTTTACTGAGTACATACTTTCTAGGAATGGGCCCGAGGAGGGTGTGTTTGTGTCTTAGGTCATTTTTTTTGGGGGGGGGCACAACTTTACTACGTTTAGTATATACGATAATAAATTAGAGGATTGATATTAATTACACGTCAACGTAAAATTGTAATTGTACCAAAAACAGTTTTTTTTCAATTGTGCATGCCCTCGGAAAATTGTCATCCCTTATTACAAATGTGCATTTTTATAGCCGGCTTTACATGTTTATTGTGATTTGTAAAAATATAAAATATTTTCAGATATGGAAAATGAGTCCACATATTGCGAAAATTGAAAGGAAAATTAATATACATGTATCATACAGACACGTAGTATCACCCCCTTTTTGTTCCAGTCACAACTTTTCACTACAGAAAATGTTCATCGAAAGTCAGGTTGCCCCCCCCCTTTTTTTTTTGTTGCTCATAGTCAAAAAATTGTTATGTAGTATCTTTATGTAAAAAAAAAGGAGAATTGGTACTGAAAAAAGATGGGACCTACAAGCCCACCTGAAAAATGAGCTTGAGTTTCGATAAGGCCCCCCCCCCCTTTTTATAGCTAGTCAACTTATGACAAGGGTGGGTTTTTTTTTAAGGTATCCTTCCCCCCCCCCCACCCCCTTCAAAAAAGATTCTACATCACTGTCATAAATGCTTAAGAAAACATGTATTGATAACATAAATGTTGCAGAAACAAAAAAAAAATTTATTCATAATATACCATCCATGTAGTGTTTCCATTAT